AAAAAAGTTGTATTCAACAATATGAAAAAGCATTTGTTCACAAGAAACTGTCTATGTGGCCTAGGCTGGCCTTGAACTCAGCGATCCTCCTGCCTCAGCCTCCCAAGTGCTGGGATTACAGGTGTGCACCACCACATCTGGCTACATAGACTTTTAAAAATGACTTAGATGCAGTGGGTTTTGTTTGGTTTGTTTCAGCTCACAGTTTGTAGAGGTTTTATTCCGTAGTCAGCGGCTCCAAGTGCAGTCCTGACTTGGTGAGGCAGATTAAGGAGGTACCGGTGGAAACCGCGGTCAGCTGGCCCCAGACCCTGCTCTGGGAAAGTGTCGCAGTCCTAGAGGACTGATGCTTGGAGCATTCAGGCGAACTGAATTGGGAGGATTACTTTAGGTTGTTGTGAAAAAAGTAAAACAAAGCTAGGAAGGCTTGAAGAGCAGCATTTACTGGCTCCTCTAATGTAAGAGTCTGATTTCAGTTACAGCTGGGTTCAGGGCTTCTGTGCGCCCTGGAGCTCCCTTCTCTGGCCATCGTTTGGTTCTGCTTCACTGGAGCTCCTCGGTTCTGGCAAGGTCCCCTGAGGACGCAGCCGGGTTGGATGCCGGCGCCCCGGGCGGGAGGAAGCCCCGCCCACTCCAGAGGAAGCCCCGCCCCGAGCCCACCTGACTCAGCCTGAGGGGTGGGGCCAGAGGGGGTGTGGTCAGGGGTGTGGTCAGGGGTGTGGTCAGGGGTGTGGCCGGGCTGTGGCTCTCCGATTGGCAGCCTGATTATCAGGCAGCCCCGCGGGGGGCGGGGGACACGGAGTCCTTCCCAGAGCCACGTGGCTTGAGAATGAGCCACCCCGCAACCCCTGCGACCCCTGAACATAATGGGGGCGCTCATTCCAGGAAAAGGGAGCTCTGGTGGGCTCGTAAATGATGGACTCTTAAAGCAGCAGCTATCGCAGGCTGTCGTGGCGGAGGCCAGTAATCCCAGCACTCTGGGAGGCTGAGGAAGGAGGATCACAAATTTGAGCCATCCCGGGCAATTTAGAGATTTGGCGAGACCCTGTCTCAAAGGAGGGCGGGTGGCTCAGTGTGAGGGCCCTGGGTTCGATCCCCAGTACTGGAGGTGGGAGCAGAAGGAAGAAAGAAAACAGCGGGGCATCCACTGCAGGTTTAGCAGTGCGGTCAGTCTTGTGCCGGCATATTCGGTACCCCCATGCAGTGTGGGGTGTGATAGGGAACACCTGCTTCTGGGACGGAGCAGAACCCTACGACTGATCGACGGGCAGGCCGTGAAGCGGGGGCCGTGTGGGCAAACGACTCCGGGAGGGAACAGGCAGTTTCACGGGTCACTCGAGGTGTCAGTCAGTTTGATTAAATACCTGGTCCTAGGGGCAGTGGTACCTAGGGGCACATGAAAGGAAAGGGCTGGACCTAGAGGCCTGGGAAGGCAGGTGGCAGCCAGATGGCAGAGGTAACCCAGGAAGTAACAGATGTAGCAGTTTAGAGCCAGCAGAGTTGCAGGACCACAGATAGAGCCTCAGAAGGTCAAATGACATATGATGTTTATTGAGCACCTACTCTGTGCGAGGCATTTCTCTTGTTTAACACTTCCTACATACTAGCAACAACCCTCCAAAGAAGAGCTTGTGATCAACCCTGTTGTAGAGATGAAGAAACTGAGGCACAGAGAGGTTAAGTGACTTGCCCAAAGACACACAGCTCTAAGTGGCAGAGCTGGAATTTGAACTTGTGCTCTTGGCTCCTAATCCCAATAATGTGCTGTAATCTCTCCTATCACTTTGTTTGTGTGTGTGTGTGTGTGTGTGTGTGTGTAGGGGGCTGGGTCTTGGCAATTCTAAGGGAAGAAAACCTGTTTTCTTTTTGTCTTGGTACTGGGAATTAAACCCAGGGCCTTCTACTGAGCTATGCCACCAGGCTTTTTTAAGTTTTATTTTGGGACAGAGTCTCACTAAGTTGGCCGGGGATATAGCTCAGCGGCACAAGCGCCTGCCTGGCAAGCGCAAGATCCTGAGTTGGTTCCCGGTACCAAAACACAAACAAACACATGAGAGTCTCACTAAGTTGCACGGGCTGGACACAAACATGCAACTACCCTGCCTGTGCTTCCCAGAGTGCTATGATTATGGGTGTTCACCACCATGTCCGGCTGTCTTAGGAGCCTTTTCGTGGCTGTGCAGCCGGGGGGCTTGGACAATACATGGGGTGATCAAAATATCGGCAAATATGTAAATTTATTACAGTAAAAGATATAGTGCCATTAATCTCCTCCAAATACTCCCCCTTGCTCTGAACACGCTTGTCCCATTGTTCTTGCCACTTTCTGAAGCACTTCTGGAAGTCCTCTTTCATGAGTATCTTTATTCTTTTTTCTTTTTTGTCTTTTTGAGACAGGGTCTGGCTATGCAGTTCAGGCTGGCCTTGAGCTCACTTTGTAGCCCAGGCTGGTCTCAGACTCGCAAGGATCCTCCTGCCTCAGCCTCCCAAGTGCTGGGATTACAAGCATGCACCACCATGCCCGGTGCTAAAACACTTTCTTTTCCTTTTTTTTTTTTTTTTTTTTTGGTACTGGGAATCAAACTCGGGACCTTGCACTTGCCAGGCAGGCTCTGTGCCACTGAGCCATATCCCCAGCCTTATCTTTACAAGGTGTGATTAAAAAAAAAAAAGAATATGGTGAATGTTGATGCTAAGTGCATCCAATGGAAGAGCAGGCTCATAAAAACATTGTGGCTGGGCGTGGTGGCGCACACCTGTCATCCCAGCACTTGGGAGGCTGAGGCAGGAAGATCACTGGGAGTTCGAGGCCCCATAGTGAGTTCAAGACCAGCCTGAACTGCATGGTGAGACCTTATCTCAAAAACAAACAAACAAATAAGATTATATTTTATCCTTATGCACCTTACTTACCAGATCAGGCACTGTGTGACTTCCGGCTTTGCCCCATAGTCAAAATGACCATGAAAGGTAAATGTCAAGGCAGCCACAACTACACAACTAAAGACAGTTAGGAAAGAAGACTCCATGGGCCGGGGATATAGCCCAATGGCACAAGTGCCTGCTGGCAAACACAAGGTCCTGAGTTCAATTCTCAGTACCAAAAAAAAAAAAAGAAAGAGGACTCCCAGAACTGCTTCAGAAAGTGGCAGGACCAGGGCTGGGGATTTAGCTCAGCGGCACAGCACCTGCCTGGCAAGTACAAGGTCATGAGTTCAATTCCTGGTACTGGAAAAAAAAAAAAAAAAGAAAAGAAGGTGGCTAAGTGTGTTTGAGGAGAGGGGGGATTCTGAGGGGGTTTGATGACGATGTAATAAATTTTACTATAATAAATTTTAAAAATGTAAGCATTCATGGTAGGTTGTTTTTTGTTTTTTGTTTTTTTGGGGTATTTTTTTTGGTCTTTTTTGAGATAGGGTCTCACTATGCAGTTCAGGCTGGCCTTGAGCTCACTTTGTAGCCTGGGCTGGTCTCAGACTCGCAAGGATCCTCCTGCCTCAGCCTCCTGAGTGCTGGGATTACAGGCGTGCACCACCACGCCCGGCTACATGGTAGGTTTTGATCATGCCGCTATCTTCTGGCCTACTAGGAAGGGAGGACGCTGGAAGACTTGGGGACATCTGAGTGCACCAGATGACTAGGCTCTGCTAGGACCGGAGGCCCCAAGAGTGGGTTTCTGGCTTTTCTGAACCTGCTTCTCCCTTTTCTTCCAATTGCTCCAGAGTCTTTTGGGGAGATGCACCTCTGCCCAGACGTGGGGCTCTGTGGATAAAACAGGGCATCATGGGCACAGGGGCCCTGGTGCCCAGCACAGGACTGGCAGGCACAAAGCTGCCCCTTTGTGCTCAGCTGCCTGCTGAGGAAGGCCGACCCCTGCCCTGCTGCCCCGGCTGGGGTCGGCCTTCCTCAGCTCAGGACAGTAGTCTGAGGGGAATGAACTAAGTCCCCCAGGGAGAGACCCAGGCACCACATGTGGGTCACAAAGGGAGAAGGATGGAGACAGTTGGGAGGCCAGGCACAGTGGCACACACCTGTTAACTCAGCACCCAGGGGGCTGAGGCAGGAAGATGGCTAATTCTGAGGCAGCCTGGGCAACTTAGTGAAACCTTCTCAAGAAGCAAGCAGACAGGGCCAGGGGTAGAGCTGAGTGGCACAGCGCCTGCCTGGCAAGCGCAAGGTCATGAGTTTGATTCTCAGTATCGAAAAAAAGAAAAGCAAAAAGAAGAAGAAGAAGGAGAAGGAGAAGGAGAAGGAGAAGGAGGAGGAGGAGGAGGAGGAGAAGGAGAAGGAGAAGGAGAAGGAGAAGGAGGAGGAGGAGAATGAGGGGAAGGGGAAGGAGAAGGGGAAGGAGGAGGAGGAGGAGGAGAAGGAGGGGAAGGGGAACGGGAACGGGAAGGAGAAGTAGAAGGAGAAACAAGTGGACAAACCAAAGCAGAGGGTCAGAGTGGGGGATTTAGCTCAGTGGCACAGAGCCTGCCTGGCAAGCTTGAGGTTCTGAGTTCGATTCCCGATACAAACAAAACAAAACAAGCCATACAAAAAGCAGAGGGTCAGAAAGAAAGTGAGGCTGAAGTGGGGAGGAGACGAATGTCAGGTGAAGGGAGTCTGAGGAATGGAGACACAGAGGGGGCTTCGCCTTGCTCCCCTCCCAGTGGCCCCTGCTCTCACTGGGACGGACAAGCAGGCGGAAACACCCCCACACTGACCTGACCTCCTTCCTGACACTCGCCGGTCCTCCCTCAGCTCTGCCCAGCTCCCCTCCTGCTGCTGGTCAAGCCCATTAAGCTGCTGCCCTGGCCACAACTGAAGGCCCCACGCCGCAGGGAGGAAACCACTGAAGAGGCGTCCTGTTCCCTTGCACGCCAAACCATCAATTAATATTAACGAGGAGGAGGCCGCACAGAGGCCGAAGACCCCCCAGCGGGGTGCAGGTGGAGGCCCCGCCCCGTGACTCAGGAAGTTAAAGCACCTGGGGCCATCTGGGAGCCCAGAGTGTCCGGATGGCGTGCGGCAACGGCAGGGTCACAATCCAGCTGGTGGATGAAGATGCAGGGACGGGAGCCTGGGACCCACAGCCCTTTCGGGGCCAGAGCTACGACGCGATCAGAGCAGCCTGCCTGGACTCAGGGATCCTGTTCCGCGACCCCTACTTCCCCGCTGGACCTGATGCCCTTGGCTATGACCGGCTGGGGCCGGACTCAGAGAAGGCCAAAGGGGTGGAATGGAAGAGGCCCAGAGTAAAGTGTGGGGGCTGGGTCTGCGGGAGGGGGCCGGGCCTGGACCCCGGGGTCTGCGCGAGGAGGCTGGGGGTTTTGGTTGGGAGCAGGCCTGGCGTCCTCTATTCAGGGAGGCCCAGGGAAGCCAAGCACTGCCCCCAGACTCCGTGACCTTTTGTAGGCTGAAGGACCTTTCACCTGAAGCAGGGGACCCAGCATCTGCCCTCTCAGCTGCTCCTCCTTCCCTTTCCTGGGCTGACCTGGAGCCCCCATCACCCCTAGGAGGGTTTCTGGGAGGGGACTGGGAACTCAGGAAGTCAGGACCGCGAGCCTGCCAGGCAGTGCTGTGCCGCTGAGCTACATCCCCGGCCCCTCTCCCTAGGAGTTTTGTGATGAGCCCCAGTTCATCTGCGAGGACATGAGCCGGACCGACGTGTGTCAGGGGAGCCTGGGTGAGACCCCTTGACCCGCCTTGAGTCCCAGGCCCGGGAGTCTCAGCCGGGGCCTCGCAGCTCCGCCTCCCTCACCCAGCCCGGCCTTTCCTCCAGGGAACTGCTGGTTCCTCGCGGCCGCCGCCTCGCTCACGCTGTACCCTCGGCTCCTGTACCGGGTGGTCCCCCCTGGACAGAGCTTCCGCGATGGCTACGCAGGCATCTTCCACTTCCAGGTACAGCTCGGTTCCTCTGTCCATGCCCAGCCGCCTTGCAGCGACGAGGGTTTCATCTTCCGCCTGGTGCCCTTGGGGCTGTAATAATTCTAGGGCTCTGGGGCTGGCACGGCAGGGCCGGGGCAGAGGTGGGGGGCCGGCGGGCGGTGGCTGGAAGCCGAGCCCAGGCCCTGCCCCTTTCGCCGCCAGCTCTGGCAGTTCGGCCGCTGGGTGGACGTCGTGGTGGACGACAGGTTGCCGGTGCGCGAGGGGAAGCTGATGTTCGTGCGCTCGGAGCAGCGGCACGAGTTCTGGGCCCCGCTCCTGGAGAAGGCCTACGCCAAGTGAGGACCCGGGCCCCAGCCGCGCCCCGAGACCCAGCAGCAGGCCCAAGTCACAGGGGGCCCCAGCTCCCACCACCCCGAACCGAGCCACACCCGCCTGCACCTTCCTCTGACAATATGGCCCGAGGACCTGAGGTCCGGAGCGCCTCCTTCTCCCCGCGTCCCCGAGCCCACAGTTCCTGAGGACCCTGAAGTCTCACGTAGGGCCCTGATTTATCCGAGAACCTGTAATCTCGGACCGTCTCTCGTCCACTGGGACATCCACGTACCCCCGCCGGTACTGGCTGTAATCCTGAGACCCTCAAATCATCCCCTCTCGTGCTGAGGGTCTGCAGTGCCTGACCAGGCGCCCCCCGAAAGCCGACCTCTCCGAGACTCAGGCGCGGCGCTGCACGGCCGCCGCAGGGCGCCCAAACCCTACAGTCCTGGTGGCCCCAGGTCCAGATCTCGGCTTCCGGCCTGCGCTGCCACCAACACCCGCTGAGGCTGCTGCGGGCTGCAAGCCGGCGCCGGCCTCAGACCCGCCCCCACCCCAGGCTCCACGGCTCCTACGAGGTCATGCGAGGCGGCCACATGAACGAGGCTTTTGTGGACTTCACGGGCGGCGTGGGCGAGGTGCTCTACCTGCGAGGCAACACGCCCGGCCTCTTCTCCGCCCTCCGCCACGCCCTGGCCAAGGAGTCCCTGGTGGGCGCCACTGCCCTGGTGAGAGCGGGACTCCCACTCGGCCCGAAGGCCGCACACACGGGCGGGGGCGGGAGCTTCCTGTCTTTTCCTCTCAGCTTCTGCCACTGACTCATTCTCCCTCACAAACCAAACTGCAGCGAGTTAGGAGGAATTTATTTGCGCTCCTAACAAGACAAGCCTCAGGCACAGCTGGATCTAGGTGTTCTGAGGCTATTGCGAAGGTGTTTTTCTATCCTGGTTCTGGGTTAGTTGCACTGGGGCAGGCTGTCCCATCATAGGTGCAAAGGGGGACCTCCAATAGCTGCAGGCACACCTCCCCACCACAGGGGTAAACATGTAAAAATAAAAAGAGTAGCTGTTTTTGAGAATTTCAACAACAGTACCAGGATGGATCCTCATGAGCTTATTGGCTTAGCCTGGGTCATGTGTTCTTTTTTTTTTGGTATTGGGACTCAAACGCAGGACCTCATGCTTGCCAGGCAGGCACGTTCCACTGAGCTGTATTCCCGGCTATGTGCTTTTCTTTGACCCCACCACACACTCACACTGGTCATTTTCTTCTCCTTCCTCTTCATCTTCTTCTTCATCTTTGTTTTTTTTTTGTTGTTGTTTTTTGTCTTTTTTGAAATAGGGTTTCATTATGCATTTCAGAGTTCAGGCTGGCCTTGAGCTCACTTTGTAGCCCAGGCTGGCCTCCCTGCCTCAGCCTTCCCGAGTGCAGGGTTTACCGGCGTGTGCCACGACGCCCAGGTCCGTGTCTTCACTGAGTTGGTCTAACTCATTCACTCGCCCACTTCTTTAACCCTGTACCTGGTTTCTGAGGCTCTGTCTCTGTGTCTCCCTGGTCTTGGTCTCTGCAGCTAGCGCTCCTTTCCATCTCCTCCCCACCTCCCTCACACCCCTCTTCTGAGCCCTGGGCCGCTTGAGCTGTGGTGGTGGCAGGGGGTTGGGGGCCTGAGGGAAGCAGCTCCTGCTGTCCTCCACCTTGAGCTCACTGTCCCCTGTCCTCTGCTCAGAGTGACCGGGGCGAGTACCGCACGGAGGAGGGGCTGGTGAAGGGACACGCGTATTCGGTCACGGGCACGCACAAGGTGAGCTGTCCCTGTGGGTGAGCCGGTGGGGTGGCCAGGCGCCACTGCCACTCACCGTGCCGTCCTCAGGTGTCCCTGGGCTTCACCAAGGTGCGGCTGCTGCGGCTGCGGAATCCATGGGGCCGCGTGGAGTGGTCCGGGGCCTGGAGTGACAGGTGGGACGGGCCGCGGGGTGGGGGGCGGGGTCCCCCACGCTGCCCCTCACACCGGTGTCTCCAGCTGCCCACGCTGGGACGCGCTGCCCCCGGAGTGGCGAGATGCCCTGCTGGTGAAGAAGGAGGACGGGGAGTTCTGGTGAGTTCTGGGTTCCCAGCTCTGCCTCTGCGAGGGCCCCTGGGTCCGGGGACTGAGGAACAGGGTAAAAGGGACACGGAGAGATTTGTGAGGATGCATCCTAGTTAGAAACTGCCTGCAGCAGCAGTAACATTGGGGTCAAGGATGAAGGAACTGGAGCCATAGTAAGCGCTGGAGGGTCGAAGGGGGCGGGTAGGATTTCGGTATGGTTTAGTGACATTTAGGACATTTCTTGAGATCTGGCAATATTGAGATTCTGAGGGATACTTGTTGATACTGGGGTCTTAATGTATTTTTTTTTTTTTCAGTATTGGGGATTGAATCCAGGGCCTTTGCTTTGAGCCCCGCCTCCAGCCCTTCTATAACCTAACTAGATGCTTGTTAAGTTACTAAGTTGCCCAGGCTGGGTGCAAACACGAGCGCCTTCTAGGGGGCTGGGATAATAGGCATGTGCCATCATACCTGGCTCTTCCGGTTTTATAAAAGCCATCTGATGATATTTGGGGGCAGTCTGGTCTGTGGGGCATTTCCAAAGACTTGGACTCCTGGGGCACCTACAGGGGCTGGTGATTTCTGGGTACTTGGCAGTAAGGACCTGAGAGGCCTTGTGATTGGGGGCCACTTCTGGGGTCTTGAGCTTTTGGGGCGCCCTCCAGGATGGAGCTGCAGGATTTCCTCCAGCACTTCAACACGGTCCAGATCTGCTCCCTGAGCCCGGAGGTGCTGGGCCCCAGCCCGGCGGGGGGCGGCTGGCACATCCACACCTTCCAGGGCCGCTGGGTGCGCGGCTTCAACTCCGGCGGGAGCCAGCCCAGCGCTGGTGAGGCCTGAGGGGCCCTGCGGGGCGTGCTGAGGGCGGGGCCTTGGCAGCCTGCGGACCCCACTTCTTCCTCCCCTCCTAGAAACCTTCTGGACCAATCCCCAGTTCCGCCTTACGCTGCTGGAGCCAGACGAGGAGGAGGACGACGACGACGACGATGAAGGGGGGCCCTGGGGAGGCTGGGGGGCAGCAGGGGCGAGGGGCCCTGCGAGGGGGGGTCGTACCCCCAAATGCACAGTCCTCTTGTCGCTCATCCAGCGTAACCGGCGGTGCCTGAGGGCCAAGGGCCTCACCTACCTCACTGTTGGCTTCCACGTGTTCCAGGTGAGGCCCGGGGAGGGGGCAGGGACGCGGGGTTGAGGAGGGGACCCTGTGCGGAGAGGAGAGGGGAGCCACAGGACTCAGAGCGAGGAACCAAAGACTGCGCAGCCAGAGGGGAGGAGGGGACCAAGGAGGTCGAGAAGGAACTGGCATGATGGAACAGGCCAATCACCTCGGCACTCTGGGAGGCTGAGGCAGGAGGATCCCAAGTTTGAGCCCAACCTGAGCAATTAATCGAGACCTTGTCTCAAAAAAAAAAAAAATAAAAAGGGCTGAGATGTTGCTCTGTACAAAGGCTCTCTCAGTTCAGCCTTCAGCACCTCTACTCCCTAAAAAGGCTGAGAAAGGATCTGAGGGGACAGATGGAGGGAAGGAAGGCTGGGGAGGGTCCAAGGGGGTCTGGCTCGGGACTGGGGCCAGAGGTTCAAACAAGAATGAAGGACCAGGGGGCCCCAGGAAGACGGAAGGGCCTGAGAGGCGTGCAGGGGCGGGAGTGGGCTCCGCGCGGTGAGCGGTGGGGCCTCCTCGCGCCCTGACCCCGCGCTCGCTCCTTACAGATTCCGGACGAGGTGGGTCTCGGACGCCCGGCCCCGCCTTCCTGCGACCCCGGCGCGGAGAGGCCCAGCAGGGGCGGGGCGGGGGCGGGACCCGGGGGACTG